CCAATAAAAGCTTATTTACTGAACACACAAACTTCTCACTACGTCACCGAGGGGATGGTGTGTGTTGGTGTTTCAGGTATTACAAGTGTGTGCAATACCTTGTGAAACCACCAAACAAATGTGCAAGACATTTGGACTTTCGTCTCACTCGTGTTCAGAACAACATTTCTAAACTCTTATCGATCTGACTAGAGGGCGATGATCCAACCTGGGGGGAAAAATAAATAAATTAAATGAATAAATAATCAGACAAATGAATTTTTCAGACAGCCCAATAAACGGCTGACAGTTTTATGCATTTACTAGATATAAACATCACACTCGCCCATCTGTGGGGCATCATCAGTCTGCGGTCTCCACCAGAGCATTGATCAGGGTGAGCTGCATCAAAAGTGTTTGTTTTCACAACAGCTCTGTCTTTGCCGATTCATTATCCAGCGGTGGTTTGAGCAGGTAAATAACATTATAAATGACCCTAGAGGCACTGCAAGGATGTTCAGTGCTTATTAAACCATCACTTCATTAATCCAAAGTATTTGGTTTGTAAGTGAGCGGTTATATGTATTATGTCAAAGAGTGCATGATTAATAAATTGCTTGTTCGTGGTACTTTTTTATTTATTTATTTATTTTTTTACAATTACGTTGCCATGAAGAGGTTCACCACAATATTGTGCAATATTGAACTCTGCACAGAGAATCCTAATGGAAATTTCTTGTCCTTTGTTTCAGCACTTTGACTTGTAGCTATGCCCAGAAGGACACAGACATTTGCATATGTTTTAAGGGATGCTTTAGAACAGTGGTTCCCAACCCTGGTCCTGGAGGCACCCCAACACTGCATATTAGTCTCCTTAATCAAACACACCTGATTCAGATTATCAGCTCATTAGTAGAGACTCCAAGACCTGAAATTGGTGTGTCAGAGAAAGGAGATATGCAAAATGTGCAGTGTTGGGGTGCCTCCAGGACCAGGGTTGGGAACCACTGCTTTAGAATATTACAAAGGAAACTGCAAGATTAGGACTGCAAGATAATAAAATAAAATGTGGATATTTGATGTTTGTTTATTTAGGGAAAGCTGCTATATCCTATTTTAAACAATATTTAGCTTATTCTTTGTTTTTGAATCAGCTGATGACTTTCTGAATTTCATTTGTTTTTTTATTTTACTTTATATTTGCTTTATATTATTTTACTTTACATTTTTCCTGAGCATGTACACAATTCACTATGGCAAAGCTCTGATGTATTTATATTAATTTTAACCCTATAAACCTATATTGTACCCCTAAAACTATTTTAAATATTTTGCTTATTCTTTGTTTTTTAATCTAATCCTTTTTTTATTTTATTTTATATTTCAACTTTGACACAGCTCATGCTCATTTTAACCCTATAACCATATTTTAAACCTCAAAGTATTAAATTTTTTTTTTTTTTGATAATGACTCCCTGAATTTAATTTAGTTTAATTTAGGTTAGGTTATTATTTAATTTTATTTATATTTTTAATGAATATTTTTTAATGTGTAATTTTTCATCATGTAAAAAAACATGTTTTTTTTAACTGCCCATGTTTTATTTTTTTATATCATCATAATCATTATCATTATTATATATATTTTGTTGGTGAAAATACTAGTGGTCTAAGACTTTTGCACAGCAGTGTGTGTGTATAATATATATATATATAATTATTATTTTTTTTTTATTTTTTTTTTTATTGTGTTCTTTTTATTGGGCTCTCTTCAGATCAGATTATTAATCCAGCATTGTTATTAGACTAGCCTGCGAACACTAGAGCACAAGAAAAAGGAGAAGAGGGAGATGCATTTATTAAGTGAACAGTCAGAGAGATCACGCTCTGCTTGTGGAGGCTTGGAGATTCCTAGAATTTGAGCAGAAAGGAGCTAATGCCTAGCAACCGCACCACAAAGGGCGGAGAGCTGTGGTCAAGTCTGTCTGCTGGAGCAATGAATACAAAAACCCAGAGGACGAGTGAAGTGAGCGAGCGAGAGCAAGAACTTGAGTCTGTTTAAACGTGATCAGATGGATCACATGCATGATCTCAGCCTTTTAAATAGGTAAGTTACTTGCTTTTGATTTCATAATGCAGTTGAGAGAAGTCATGGCCAAGCTAGAAAATAAGACAGGCAGGGTGGACGGAGACAGATGTGTACTGTGGTAACCTGGGTCGCAGCTGCAGCAACAAAACCGAATTATTCTCGTCTCCACTGTGAACCTGTGTGCCTCAGACCATAATGACCACAAAAACTCAGTCAACCTCAGCCAGACAACCTGGCTCCGGATCAGGAGTGCACACCTGAGCTCACTGGCACGTCACTGTACTGTATTGGTGAGCTCTCATTAGCGTAGCCCATGTTGTCATTTACACACCCACGCCTGCCCTCAGATCTGAGGTACCGCAACCGTGTGATGACACCAATGCAATGCAAAAACAACACCTGATACCAGGAAATTTAAATTAGTTTAATTTAAATTTCTATTATTATTATTATTAATTATTTTATTTTTTTTTATTTTTTTGGGGGGGATGTGCAATAATTATTTTTAAATTATTCCAATACCAATAATTTGCTTTTTTTTTTTTATAGTACAGAAAAAACTGCAAGTGAATATTCATGTGCATATTGCTTTGGAATTGAGCTCATAAAATGAAAACAGGTCAGGTTTAATTGGTAGTGTGCTGAAAATACAGGCCATTGTGTAATAAATGTTCTTGGATACAGGAAGAACCCGGCTGCTATCCCAGTGGAATCGCTGGTCATGTTTAAAATTAGTTTCGTAGGAGATGGCACACGATTTTCAGTTCAGAGACCCTGCGAAGAATCTATAACCGTAATTGGATAAATTGAAAAGATGTAGCGTGCTTCTGTGTAGCTCATTTATGATTGTTTAAGAGAGAGTTTTTCTGGTAATCCACGACTACTGTTTGGTTGAGTGCTGCTCATGTGATGACCTTTTGTCTTTTGTTATGGTTTAAAACGCATTCCGTGGAAGTGTCGCCAGTTTTATTCACAGACAATAACTAAAACATACATGGCCACATCCTGTAGGTGCACATCGCTAGATGTATGAACACTAATACACAATAGACATGTTGAGTCATACAGGCTTTTATTTTCCCGTGAGGGCTATCCCGTCTCCTGTCTGTCCTCTAAGGGATTGAGCACAATGCAAGTTCACTAAGTATAACAAGAACTATATTAGTGTCCATACCAAGGGACGATAAAATTGTTTTTTATAAGTGTACACTACAACTTTGTCTTCTTCCACTGTAAATGCTCAAGCTTCGTAAAATTATTAAATGCTCAAGCTTCATAAAATTATGGTTGTACAACTGATGTCACATGGACTATTTTAACAATGTCTTTACTACCTTTCTGGGCCTTGAACACGGTAGTTGTGCTGCTGTCTATGGAGGGTCAGAAAGCTCTCGGATTTCATCAAAAATATCTTCATTTGTGTTCCGAAGATGAACGAAGGTCTTACGGGTTTGGAACGACATGAGGGTGAATAATTAATGACAGAGTTTTCATTTTTGGGTGAACTATCAATTTAAAGTTAGATCATGTAGCAGTAGCAGTGATAATAATAATAATAACATTTTTACAACCTTATTTTTAAGGAATATCACAGATTTTTTCTTCCAAGTTTTAATTTTAACAGAAAACCTCTGTTGTGCAGCAATTTTACTGTTTGCCAAACTATAAAAAGAAATTTTAAAGTTTTCATTTGATTTGAATTTAAAATTTAATTTAAAATGTTTTAATTTTTTTTATTGCTTTATTGCATTTGATGACTGTTTTTGATAAGAAATTAGTATTAAATCATTACATATACAATAATCATTATCACATTGTTTTATGAATTCAGGTTATTACACATTGTTTTTGATTATTAAAAATAATTAAACGATTTAATCTGAATCCAGAAAAATTACAACTGGAAAAAAAATAAAAAAATAAAAACTGGTTTCATAGGGCCCTATTATAGTTACAATCCTTGGTGTGAACAGCCCTTTACACCAACTTTCTAAAAGTGCAGTAGCAGCAAAAATCTCTCAAATGAAAGCCGAAAACTGATGCGTGACTGAAGTCTGAACGGCTGCCGTCTCCGTAAGATGTGGGAGAACTGATTTGGCATGTTTGAGGTGTTGACAGCAGCTGCTCAAGTGTGAAGTCGTCTCTTCACGTAGAGTAAGTGGGTGTGAGTGTGTGGCACGTTGACAGGTGTGCTAACACTGTGATTTTGAAATCAGTAGGCCATCTTTTGACACACACACACAGGCTTTCTTTACTTTTTCTTTTTCAGGCTTTCCTTTTTTTGTGCATCTTCGGATACCATTTCATTGGAGTTTGAGGGCAGTTTTCCGCTCTGTTTGCAGCGTAATCCGTGTGTGTTGTTTGGAGTTGTGTAAGAGGGCCGCAGACTGACGGCCAGGGGGCCGCGCTACATCTCAGAGCTGCACGTCATGTGACACGAACACGCTCCCCAGAGCACAAACATGTGCCAGTCCGTATCAGACACGCCATTGTGACGCGTAGATGTTTTTGAGATGCTAGAAGGTGCTTGTGGGAGCTTCTTGATTCTAGAGTATGGCTGTTATGTTTTGTGTGTTTATATAATGTTCAAATGAGGGAGTTAGATGTCAAATGAGTAGCGTGCCCCCGCAGGCCTGTGGAAATTACCCTGATAAGGCCCCGTTTCCTGTTTGTGAAGCACTCAGACATCTCCATTAAAGGCCAAACTTGATAAACACCAGGTCTGGGAGAGAATGGAACGCTGAAGATCGACAGCTAAGTCAGCAAGACTTGAGTTACTGGAAGTATAGGCTACGCACACATTCACAATACAGGATGGGCATTAGCGCTAAGACTCTGACTAGACAGAGAAAAAAACAGTGACTGTGAGCTTGCTTTCCTGTCTGAAGATGAAGTGTGTTATAACCTTGTTTTCTTTGTGTTTCTGTCACAGGTGCTGGAGAATCAGGGAAGAGCACCATCGTAAAACAGATGAAGTGAGTGAACGATGTTTTCTCTTTTCGAAATCTCTTACTCTCTTTCAGACACATCTCTGAATGCCAGCTGTTGACGCTGGTGTGGATGATATGAGAGGGAACAGCTGCAACTCTAAAGTGAGAAAATGTTACGAAAGAAAATTTTCTTTCTCACAAACATACACATATTCCTTGATATGGGACATTAGGAGTTTTTTGCCCCTGCGCTAGTTAATAAACTCAAAGTGCACATACTCCTACACAAACCCCAGAGTTCCAAGTCTAAATAAGTGTTTAGAATCATTCACTTCAGTGAGTCAGATTCAGGGAGTCATTTCAAAGGCTAGATCATCAATTTGAACAGCTATTCAGGTAGCTAGACAAGTTTAAATGATGTTTTATTAACAAGGTTCGGGAGGAGCGCGTCAGATACTTAGCCTAATTAACACAGGTGGAGTGCACGCAAGTTAATCAACACCATGGTGTAAATACAGCTGACTTACCTCTATCCATTGACGGTTATCAGCATCCCTCCTCCGCCCCATCTCCTCACTTCGAGTTCATACTACTACACTTATACGGGGGGGTACTCTAGGTTCGGGCCATTCCCGAGCTCGGAGCCCTTCCCCGGACAGCACGCCAAATATGCATTACCATACTTCAGCTAATTATATGTAAGCGTGAACTCGTGAAAGTTGCAATATAACAGTAGATAGATTCAGATCTTTTCTTCCACATTGTGACGTATATCCGAATGAGATAGGTTCTTGGAAATAAAAAAGGTAGCACAGAGTCTAAGTTCAATCCTTCAGTCGTTGGTTGAATGGAGGCAGATCTGAATTCAAGCTTGAGATCAGTTTGTAAGAAAGGGACTAGGTTTATGCAGCCAAAATGATTGAGGAAGATGCAAAATATGTACCAATAAGTACATATCACTGCAGTTTCCTAGCACTTGTAATCATTTTCCTACACAGTTATGATTACAGCTCAATATGTTTCATTTTCCGGATGTAACAAGCTTGCTCGGTAGCCCAGCCGGCATGGAATTGGACTTAGGATGCGGAATCCTTGGGTACGAATCCTGTGAAAAACCTGACTCACGATGAAAGAGCTCAAAGATGAGAGATCGAAAAACAAGCTAAAACGGCATGCTTGCTATTTGCGTCTTTACGTCACATTCGCTTTTGTTCATATTATCGGGTAGGCTTAGGTGTAGTGTAGATGGTACGTTATTTTAAATCGTCACGGAGCATTAGAGTTATAGCACCACTCAACGAACATTTAATGTCAGAACTGCAGTGACACATACAAAACCAACGTCACATAAAACGTACCATATGTGCGTTCATCTGTTCTGGGGGAAAAAAACAAACACTCTTTTAGTCACGAATATGTCACGAAACCTACATGGCGCTACGTGTTTCGCGTCTTGCAATAAAGTTCCCACAGGTACGTTTTCATCATGAGATCAGGCTTGACATAACACGACCATAAAACTAGTTCACGTTAATTCATGCAATAGCACCCACTGTGGCAGCTCTGAGAATGCAAAATATATTTGCATTGTATTATCAGTTGTATTCGGACATGTTTCAGAACTTAATAAAACGTGAAATTGTTTATGCGTTGTAAGCATACTTGTGTAGAGTATTTTTTGGGGCCTTACACATAGAAGTCTTTGCCTACCTAGACAGCATTTTTTGACACAAATGTTACAAACGTAACGCTGATGGCTAAAAGTCCTGTCAGGGTATGTAGCCTATGTGTCTCCCTTGCTCACACTCACATAAACAGCTGTTGCTGTGCGTGTGTATGTAGTCGGGCCCCTGGCAGCAGTTAATACTGTTTATCTGACCTTGACCTCTGCTGCTCTTTTTACACCTCTGTTTCCCAAAGCAATTTTACAATCTAATCATTCTAATGGAAAATGTTTTGTACTCCATCTCATCACTGAATGCATCCTGGCACACACACTCTGACCTGGGGTGAAATCGCAGCATTCATTCTTTAATAATAGAATTACATTATTATAAAATGACTCTAGTTGTGCTTAGCTATATTGGAGAAGGTTGTTTGTATTTTCCCTTTAAAGGTGTTTTAAATGCCGTCTGAGTGTCATTTGAGTGATACACGGTGAACTGGCTCTCTGGTTCTATCCTCAGAGATTTTCCTCTGAACTACTGAGCCAGAGCTGACTATATAAAAAAAAAATCTCCATAGATTTGCAGTCTGACAAGATCCACAGGACAATTCCCACCAGCACTTAAAATCAATTCAGTGGCTAAGTTCCATCCACTGCAAAAGCCTGTTCATATTAATAAATTTTATATTACATCTGGATACTAAAGCCAGGCTTTGGGTTAAAACCTAATGTTCTTACTAGTCCTGTCGCAATAATCAATATATCGACTTATCGCACAATATATGTACATGACCTCAATACTTTTTGGTGACGCAATATATCGCCCATTATATTTACATTAAAAAAAATGTTTTGTACTTTCCACTTGCGCCTGTGTTTTTTGCAGCTTCTCGTACATAACGTGGTGTAGTCCTGTGCTAGTTCAAATTTAAAAATGCTTCTACAAAAAAAGTTTCATCTGCAGATATGGCCTTGTTTAGGGATCTGTGCCTTTCTGCATACGGACGGACATCTGACTGCTAAGTAGGGATTGTGTTTTTCAGTAATAGTGTGCACCCTTAATTTACAGAGAGAAGGTCAGGGAAAAATCTGTCATAAAATGGTCTTAAAATGACAATAATATCGCTTATTGCTATTTTTTTATGGGGCAATATATCGCACAACAAAAAGGTATCGTGACAGGCCTAGTTCTTACCTCTTTGTCTTTTGTGCCATCCTGAATTTGTTCTGTTTTATTTATTTATTTATGCATGTTTATATTTGCTTTTTCTGGTGAATATAACAAATATTTATTTAGCTTTATATTTACAATTAATATTGAGTTTAGGGTTGGTAATATTTTTAATGATTCTGAAAGAAGTCTCTTATGCACACCAAGTCTGCATTTATTTTATCGAAAAGAAAAACACGGTAAAATCAAAACTTTGATATTATTACAATTTAAAATAACTTGTCTATTTTAATGTTTTTATTTTTATTTTTGATGAATATAAGGTTTAAAAACAGTATTTATTTGAAATAATTTTTTAACAATGTAAAAGTTTTTACTGCCACTTTTGATATTTAATTTAATAGATAATATTCTGATTTATAAATATAATCAAATTTACTTCTATATATTCAGACTTACAACTATATATTCTTATTTACTTATTTAAATATTCACTATTTACATTGATATATTCTGATTTTATATAACTACTTCTTGTATGCCGCTTCATAATATATGTGTGTGTGTGTGTGTGTATGTATATATGTATGTATGTATGTATGTATGTATATATATATATATATATATATATATATATATATACACACACACACATACACACACATTAAATCACACACACATTAAATCACATTAAAACAATGCAAATGAAATTTTAATGAGGGCTAAATATACTATACCACACTGATGGATGATTGATTGATCGTCTGTATGTCCGTTATGCAGGATTATTCATGAGGACGGCTACTCGGAGGAAGAGTGCAAGCAGTATCGAGCTGTGGTCTACAGTAACACCATCCAGTCCATCATGGCCATCATTAAAGCCATGAGCAACCTCAAGATCGAATATGAGGACGGTGGCAGAGCGGTGAGTACACACAGCATTCCCTCCGCAAATAAATCACACACATCCTCTGTACAGCATAACACACACTCTCAGATCAACTCAAACACCCACCGGCTCAGATGATCCTTCCCTCGTCACAAAGCCAGACATCTGATTATCAGCATAAAGTCTGGTCTTGCTGCTCAAGAAACATTTCTTATTTCTTCTTTTGTGGAAATTGAACTATTTATAACATTTTGTCTTCATCACTTTTGATCAATTTAATTCATCCTTCTACTCGAGTCCTGTAAGAGACTTCAGATCACACATAGCACAATAACTATCTTTTATTCTGCTGTCTATGCACAAATCCTAAGAACCTGCGAGAGATGGAAAGATTAAGTGTAAAAGAAGGCGAAAAAAGAAAATGTGGAAGTCAGAGTGTTAGAGAACAGCCTGAAGGCAGCAGTATGTTCAGTGCATCTGATCCACCTGAGGCTCTGGAGGAACTCTGATCTCTATCAGCACAGATTTATCCTCACTATATAGATATCACCATCAAATCCATGATATTAGACCAGATTTACAGTGAATGTACAGGGTTAACACTGACTGAATGGAAGGAAATAGGACACAGGAGTCTCGAGACGTGTTATTAAAAGTCAAACTTCTTTTAACTTGTCACAGTGTCTTAAAAAAAAGCAGCACTCGTAGTGCAGAGAATGAAGTGAAGAATATGGCTCCTTTAAACCAACACAGGCCCTTTATTTTCACTGTGCAGCAGCAGTGTATAGTTTAATTAGACGGGTGAAGGGAGAGATGGATGATTGTGTCTCTGCTCTGGGAATAGAGCTGTAAAGTGATGTTAGAATGGCTAACAACATCTCTCCATCACGTTTAATTAGTGAGAGCGAGATCTGTTGGAGACATTCCTCAAGTGTTTCCTCCTCCTTTCTCGTTTATGAGGTGTTTTTGATGAAGGATGTCAAAACTGATAACTGATAAGTCAGTGGGTCATCTCAGTAACTAGTCTGTGTTAAGAAAACCCTGTGTAATTACTGTAAGCTAGTTCAGGGTAATGTTCACAAGACACCAATCAGAAGCATTTCTGAGTTATTTATTAAGGGTGTCAGACTCATTTTAGGTTAAGGGCTGGATTGGGAAAAACACGCATACAGTGCCCAGATAAGGGTATGAGTACTTATGCAATGGAATCATTTAAGTTTTTTATTTTTAATAAATTTACAAAGATGTTAAAAACCAGTTTTTTGCTTTACCATTATGGTGTATGGAGTGTAGATTGATGTGGAAAAAAAGTTATTTAAAGCAGTTTAACATAAGGCAGCAACATAACAAAATGTGAAAAAAATGAAAACTTTTACAAGGCACTGTATCTTAAAATGTGTACATATTCAGAGCAACACATGCTTTTATCAAACTAATGATGTCAAGTATCAACTTTATACTGCTGGCATAAATTAATTGGAAAACATGCAAGTCAGTATTGGTGTTTGTGTTGTCACAATACCAAAACTTCAGTAGTCTGTTCCAATACCAATACAATTTCACTTTTCCCTGTACTAATTTTGATACCATAGCAAAAACTGTTTTACTTTTTTAACTATGTGAAAATAAAAATAATACATTTATATTGCAAAACTTAATACACAGATCAATTTTGACAAATCCTTTTTGACATATCCAATTTGTTTATCTCCGCCAAAATAAAAGCTTGATATACCGCACAGAGTAGCATTATAACATAACTTTCAAATGTATCTAGTATGATAAAACAGTGACGCTTTACCCCACATACGCACTACCGGAAGGAGCGGAAGCCGTTGACTGTGGCATAATAAAAGCTCCGCTGCTTTCGAGCCGTGTGTCGCGCTCGTCTCTCATTAGCAATTGCTTCAGCGGCCTCGTTTCGCTTCGACGGCTTTCAGCCTCGCCCTGCTTCATACTACGATGTTAATAAATCTTTAATACATTAGCTCATCCATGAACATGATTTCTACCCAAGTCCCGTCGGATTGCTTCGGCTGTGGGAATGAAGACGACAACTCCCATGATTCCACATTCAGTCACGGCGTCATCAAACTACGCCTTTGTTTCTTTGTTTATTTTGAAAACGCGCCCTCTAACGGCGAAAACTTACATATTGTGCCTTTAATGCTTGAAACTGAAGAAATTAAGTAAATTTTAGTATTATTATTTCACTGTTAAAAAATAATATTATATATTATTATAAATAATATTGTATATTTTTAGTAGCTAATTTTAGAGAACAATATTTATATTTTTTATTATTATTATTATTATATTTTTAAATACAATTTTTATGATGAAATAATACAATAGTAATATGTCTTGTTTTGTTTAATATTTTATTTAATAGTAATAACATTTATTTAATAGTAATAATACTTATTATTAAAAATAATAATAAAAGTCACTTTGTAGTCATATCGATATGGCTGAATTGTGCAGCCCTACAAACAAGCATAGCAAACCTGGAGCTTTATCACATTTTAAATCACAGTTTGTATCAGGAAAAAAAAAAAAAAAGATTTCTGTAACGTAGTAGAGACATTATCCATTTATATAAAAAAAAAATTGTGGACCTCATAAATGACCAACTTGACCATCCCATATGTTTAATTTGATTCTGTTACTCCTTAACTTCATCAAAAACATTGAGTACACAGTGCTATGCGTAAAACAGGAAGTAGAACATTAGCCAGTGTACCTTTTAAATAGTATGAGTGAGTGCATGTGTTAACCATATGTCACAGTTTGAGCAGTGTGCTTTAGACACGTGGAAAACCGCACCCCATGGGGCTGATCGCTGCATCTCCTCATTTTCTCTCTCTTTTCCCCTCTCTCTCTTCTCTTGAGGCCGTAAATCTTTTAAAAGGCCTGTAATCCTCTATTCATATCTGTTGCCTTTTTTCCACCGCATAGTAAAAGAACCTTTGGTGTTCTTGTTTCAAGCATTCCTTGAATCTACGAGCTATTTAACTTCTGAATTGCGAAACACTGTGTCGTTTCACATTTACGATTACTGTATATACTGTATTACTGCAGTATACAGTAGCACACAGTTTAATAATTCATCACATCCCCTAGAAGCACGGGGTCGGTCATGTCACACGTCTCTCAGCCCATCATTTCTGCTCATGGCTCCCATGTTCCACCCCAGGGTTGACTTCCTGTGATCTAGTTCAGCTCCATGGTGGGAGGGGTTTTGCTGTGAGACTCTATTCCTGCAACATATACTCTCGGAGGAGAAAGACAGATATGTAGGTAGACAGTTATTTTTGTAGCTCTGAGAGAAGTGTGTGGGAGACGGTTCGAGACTCGAGTCTGAGATGCGATAGTAGAATCTGGAGATGAGAGCTAGTCATAGACTCCTTCTCTCCCTCTCTGTTTTTCTCTCAGGGGATGCATAGCTTACATTTGTATACTGCACCTTTGACCCGCCTGGCAAATAAATCTCTGGAGTAACATGAAGTAACCCCCACAAAGTGCACATGCACACACAGCAGCAACTGTAAAAATGTCCCTTCTCCCAGAATGCCACCATGCAACCAGTCTGTCTTCAAGATAATGGGTGTGTAGATAATGCAAATGGAAGACCGATATTTCCTTTTACCGATATTTAATCAATAAACAATATCAGGTCTACTAACAAGTGTTGGGGGTTAAACAGTATGTTTAACAGGAGCTGTCATTTCAGTGTTTTACTTTAGATATGCTTTTTTTTTAAATTGCGGTATATGATATGCATCTCACTTTTTTCCTAATTGTTTTTTATTTATTTATTTATTTATTTATTTTTTAATCTATATCCTGCCCAGTGTTGTCCAATGAAACAACAATATATTAAAGGCTATGAAAACAAATATAGTGAATATGTAACTATGTAGGCTATGTTATTTATTATGTGCAAAAAAGGGTTAAAATCACAGGACATCCTAACATTGTAACCTTATAGTCTAAAAACAAAAATAATGCTTTGTAAAGCAGAAGTTAATTGCACTAAACTACAAATGAAAAAAAGCACAGACTAAATGCATTATATCTTGATTAACTTTACAGTTAATGTCGTCAAGAAATGCACTTACTTGTGGGTTTAAAATTCTACAAATGGCACATTTATTGTTCAACAACAAATATTTTAGTAAAATTTATATTTTAGTCAGAATTATTGCGATCCTGTTTTATTGGGCTCTATGTGTGTTGCGCATTTGCGTGGTGTTGATATAAATGCTATTGCTTCACACCATATTGTTTATAAAAAATATATCGATGTGTCATACAAACTTGATATACCGCCCAGCCCTAGCTCAACAAAGGCATCATTTATGTCGTTTGGAATGCAGTACATATTGGATTCACGAAACTCTTGACAGATGCGTATGTGTGTTTTGTGTGTGTTCGTTCTGAAGCTCGCGGCTTTGCGTAACTCTGGGTGAGGTTAAATGCACTTGCATCTTCAAATACTTATGATACAAAATCAATGTAAATAGATAGTTCTTCACATGGGCTAGTGGACACATGGGTAAAAAAAAGAAAGAAGTAAAAACGTTGTTTTGATTAATGTGTAGTGAGTCAATTTCGAGCTGCTGTGAGGTAATATGTTCACATTGCAGATTATTCACAGTTTATGAATTTGGTTGGACTTTGTGACTCCTAATTCTTTTGCATATGATGTATATAAATATGTTAGTTTCTGTATTCTGTGTGTTAATGTGCATTATTTTTGATTGGATCTGTTTATTCGTTTGTTTTATAGGATGATGCACGTCTGTTGTTTTCCCTGTCCGGGGCGGCAGAGGAACAGGGCATCCTGCCAGACGACCTGGCCAATGTCATCACCAGACTGTGGGCTGATGGAGGGGTACAGAGCTGCTTCACCCGGGCCAGAGAATACCAGCTCAACGACTCCGCTGCGTAGTGAGTTCTCTCTCTGTTATTAGTCAGAAAGATATTGACCAATGGCCATTCGTCAATATTCATGGAAAGCAAATATCATAACTCATAATGCACACCCTCAGTCAGATGATAAATCATGCATTTACAGACAGAACAGGGTGGTGCACTACAGCATTATTAGTATTTTACTTGGAAATTAAAACACGTGTTCAAATATTCAAAGGTTTTTTTATAGACACCAAAACCGCTCTGCTATAGTTCAAAATATTCTAAGTGCCTCACTAAATGAGAGCCAAAAAAACTGAAACTTACTCAAGAGTGCCTTTAAATTTAAAAGAAATAGAAAGATGAAAATATGTGATGAGAGTGGGCAGGATCAGATCGATACGTCAAAGCGAGCAGAAACTCTGGCACTAACAGTTAACGCTCCGTTGAGAAACCAATTGCTATTAAACGGAGGGTTGGCCTGGGTCAGGACTTCCATGAATTTTCCCATGCTTGATACACTCAAAATCAATCAGGGGTAGGAGGAGCGTTCCCTCACGGGGGATCACGGTTGATTTGGCCTTGAATTAGGAAATGAATGATGATGTCATTGGTCGGTGGGAAATGAAGATAGTGGAAGGACAGAGAGAGTGCTAATCTTAGGTTTCATAATATTTAGTTGTGTTTGCTAGGTTCAGCAGATGTTTATGTGAGAGGGTTTATAGCCTGTGTGTGGGTGGGTGGAGAGAAGTGTGGTTTTACAGAGGCAGCCACTCCTTCCCCACCCTCACAACAGAGGCTAAAGATGTCTATATTGAAAAGAATAGCAAAACCTTCATGAAGAGAGTTGCACGCTATAGAAATTATAATTGGCTCATAATAAAAACAATGAATACATACACTACCATTCAAAATGTTGGGGTCAGTAAAGACTTGCATTGTTAAACAAATATTTCTAATAAATGATCATGAGAGACTTCTGTCAAAAACATTGAAATGGCTTCTTTAAATGTTTTGCACCGCTTGCACTGGTGTGGTAGGCATTAATGACAATAACAGGATGAGTTTGAATGTGCTTGGCCAAATAATTTTAGTTAATATACATATTTAGAGTTCAAGAGATTGCAGAGTGACAAGACATATAAAACTACCAGACCTCGAATTGGATGACATTGGCTCAAAATTGGGATTCTGGTGACTGCTGGAGTTCATGTTGGTGCTTTGTGAAGCCCAGTCAAGTTTTTCCACACTTAAAACTTCTTCTAAAGCTTCATGGAGCTCATTTCACAAAAGTGCCCTCCCAAAGCTAAGTTAGACGCACACACTTCTCTAGAAAACCAATAGCATTAAGATTAGTTTTCACTGGAACTACGAAGCCTGGATTCGGAACATATTTTTGGCCACGTTTCACAAGATCTCCCCTGCCAGAGATCTTGAGCAAGACGTCAAGCACAGCTCCTGTTCCAGAGAAAAACAAGACAAACTTTCTGTGCATAAAAGAAAATACCATCTTTGTCTGTTTGCAGACATCTTGTTATAAGTTATTGCCAAACGTCAGAAAATAGGTATTGCCTGCATCAGTAAATAGCATGTACCGATTCCCTTTAAATGTGGTATGATGGTGTATTATTTTGAACAGCCACTGTATTAAGTGTCTAGCCTTGGCGTAGTGTTCTCATTACAGGTCAGCTACAGTGTCAGACTGTACTCTTGGCTCTCATAAACTCTAGCTTCGTTTATCAGAGACATGACTTTAATTCTCTGAACCTTAAGTGACAGCAGGTGGTCATTAATCTCTCTTGACACAGGCCCATATTCCTGCATCCTACAGGTCAGATCCCTTATTGCATAAATCAGAGCACAATAAGTCTTCAAGAGAGACAAAAAAGGCACCCAACCCCTCCCCCCCAGCCGAAACGTGAAAATAAATGTTTTTAAATGTCTTGGATTTGCGGTATGTAAGACTACAAAAGCAGTCTACTAAACCAGCCTTTGTGAAGAGGGATTATCAGCACTTTTCAATTTGATTTGGGTTGTGCTTGATTGTTTTGTGCCGTTGGACTCCAGCGGAGTGCGAGTGTCTGCAGGGATCCTCACAATATTGCAACCACACACAGAACCGATAAACGTATAAGAACTAAGAAAGAAAAGATTCAAGTAGGAGGAACTTATCATGCCACATTGTTCTCTTGTAATTCAGTATTGAAAACCTGAACTCTTGGTTAGTCGTGGAACTGTACAATTGTGTCCTAGTGGGATTGTATGGTATTAGGTGGAGCAGTAACATTCAGTGTTGCTGGCAGGAGTTCTTGCCTACACAGCTTATCCAAGCTGTGTTTCTGTGAGGCTTCATTAGTCGTTGATTGGCAGCTGAATGGAGATGTGCATCGTCACTGTCGCAGCCTCCTAGACTGAGGCGGTTTGTCTGTTCCTGTTTGGAAATCTGATTAGACGATTGCACACAGAGTATTTTGCATAAGAACATCATCTACAAGGCTTGTTCACACCAAAGTTGATTCAACTGAGAGAGACAGAAGTATACAATATTTCGCATTATAAATAAGAAATATTTTGAGGGAATATTCAACATATTGCAGTAATATTTAATATTTTATACCAGTTTTCAAAATAAAGTCGGGTGCTTGGTGGTCTATGGAAAATTTAAGAGAATTTTTTTTTTAAGATTTTAGAAAATATTTTTGATTTTAGATATAAATAAGCCATCTGATTTTTTTTTTATATGCATAGAGTATAAAATACTATATATGTGACCCTGGACCACAAAACCAGTCATAAGAGTCCATTTTTTGAAATTGAGATTTAAACATCATCTGAAAGCTGAATAAGTGAGCTTTCCATTGATGAATGGTTTGTTAGGATAGGACAATATTTGGCTGAGATACAACAATTTGAAAATCTGGAATCTGAGGGTGCAAAAAATCTAAATATTGAGAAAATCGCCTTTAAAGTGGTCCAAATGAAGTTTTTAGCAATATATATTACTAATCAAAAATGAAGTTTTGATATATTTACAGTAAGAAGTTTACTAAATATCTTCATGGAACATGATCTTAACTTTATATTCTAATGATTTTTGGCATAAAAGAAAAATCGATAATTTTGACCCGTACAGTGTATTGTTGGATATTTCTACAAATATACCCGTGCTACTTATGACTGGTTTTGTGATCCAGGGTCATATATATTTTTGATGATATTATTGTTTCATTGCTTATTTTTATTTTAAAGGTGCAATCTAACATTATGCTTAATATAAAAGTAAATAGATCATATTTTAATTATTTTCTTTGGCTTTAGCATAGTGGCATTATAAAAGACAACTATTTAATATTGTCTTTTTTTATGCATAATATTTTCTTCACACTACATTTAGTGCCGCTTGACACCGAAGACGTGGTTATAATCAATAGTGAACATACCTAAAGAAGCAAATAGTATTAATGCAGCTCAGTGCAATGTTTATAAGGAAGAGAGAAATGGGTCACACTTTATTTTAAGGTCCAATTCTCGCTATAAACAAACCATTAACTACAGCTTTTGCCTCAATAAACTACTAATGTGCTGTTATTAATAGTAAGGTAATTGTTAAGTCTAGGTGTTGGGTAGGATTAGGGATGTAGAATATGGTCAGGCAGAATATGTGCTTTATAAGTACTAATAAACAGCCAATATGTTAATAATAGGCATGCTAATAAGAAACTAGTTAATAATGAGAATTGATCCCTCTACTAAAGTGTTGTTGAGAAACGTATTTTCTACCATCCTTTTGCAGTTATCTGAATGACATGGAGAGGATAGGAAAAGTAGACTACATCCCAACCCAGCAGGATGTGCTAAGGACCAGAGTGAAGACCACTGGCATCGTAGAGACACATTTCACCTTCAAAGACCTGCATTTCAAGTAAGAAACCTCTACATGTCTTTATTTCACTCTGATTTTAACTGAGATTTTTTTATTCACACTCTCTAGTAGGCACGCTAACGTGTGTGTTCACACACATTCACACTTCAAACAACTCATCTGCCCAATCTAACTGCCTTCACTATATCTGTTAGCTAGCAACACCCACTTTAACCCTCACTAGAATCAAGGAATTAATTCCGTGCCATCCATGTGGTCAGGTCTGAGGTTTTGGGAATAATTTCCCTTAAACCTGTTGAGGGCATTTGGTTTACTATGGGATTTAACAGGGCTGGAATGATTCTCTTTGAATGCGTCTGCTTTAATCTACAGAAGAAATGTCAGCCCAACCTTTAGAAAGATCAAACACAAGCTAGCTGTCCAAGATGCTATTACTTTATTTAATGTTTTGTAAATCATATGTATCGAGTGTAAAAAACCAAATGCCACATAAGCGGGAAGATAATTACGGAATTTCTTAGAAATGCCAATGACGTCTTCTGCAGGTCCACACGGTTATAGAGACAAGTGTCTGACAGGCAGAAATGAAAGGACAAATTCCAAATGGCTATTTTTGCGCCCTTGAAGGGCACTTCGGGAAGGGGACGCCATTTGTAGGGATGTTCCAAACTAAAGTGAACAAATGAATCCCTTCACGAAGGGCGCTTCCAGAGGTCCGTTAGCGAAGGGAACATGCTATGGTCACTTCACGGAAGTGATTTCCGTTTGTGATCATGTGATCTTCAGTTAGGAGATCTTGAGATGGTTTTTAAAGCAAAGTTGGGGTTAATTTCGAGTTCCCAAAAAAAGCTTAATAGTAAATAAGACACAATTAGACACTATTTGAATAAAATAATAATAATAAGAAGAAATATTTATTTGCAACAACTGTATGGTTGCAAAATATGGTTTGTGGAAAACTAGTAAAATGTAAATGACATAAAATGAGGCATAAGATTTTCTAAATCTTTAGAAATAAATTAGGAAAAATGTCACAGTACACAAACATATATTATGTAAACAAAAACTTTTATTTAGGATGCGATTAATCACAATTAATCGTTTGACAGCACTAATATGAACCTTTTTAAATAATTGTACATGGTGTTTTGTGCAATAAAATAAATTATGGATATTAATATTATATGAGACAAAACTATTGTTCCACCAAGTAATATATATTCCATAAACCTTTTTAATGCTACAAGTTACTTAGCAATTTAGAAACTTACATTTATAAAGAATGTGCTTTTTTTTCTGTATATAAGTCGAAACTATGGGTTTTATAATACTGATCAGTTTGTTTTTCTGAAGACAAAAATCATAACATAGTCCATTTTTTAAAAACAACTATTGACTTAAAGGAATAGTTCACCCAAAACTGAAAATATACTCACCCTCAGGCCAAGATGTAGATGAGCTTGTTTCTTCATCTGAACAGATTTGGAGAAATGTAGCATTGCATCACTTACTCACCGGTGGATCCTCTTTAGTGAATGGGTGCCGTCAGAATGAGAGTCCAAACAGCTGATAAAAACATCACAATCCATCAAGGCATTTTTTAACTTAAAACCAGTGTTGGGGAGTAGCTAGCTACAATTAGCGACGCTACTAGAGTAACTACATTTTTCAGTAGCGTTACGGTAGCTCCGCTACTTTTAAAACAGTGTAGCTTTTCCTGTAGCTAACTACTTTTTCCAACAAGTAGCGGTGTTGCGCGACCAAACGCTACACTCTGTTTTGCGTTCTGACGAGTCACGAGCCTGTAATGCATTGAAGCAGCACAGCATCTTCTTCTGACTTAGCGATTTTGCACGTTGACAGTCAGTTTGAGATCATATAACTATATTTTATTATTGTGTGTATCGGATAGTTTACAAAATCAAACGATTGGGACATTTTTTGTAATTGAAATGACTTGGAAAAAGTGTCCCAATCAACCTGAATTCACCCTACTCTTTGAAATCATGATTGCATTACAATATGTTGTTTTACATACTATTTTACTTATAACTTCATTATAATTCTTCATTAACAATTATTCAGTTATTTGTAATGTTAGTTGTAAAAAAAAAAAAAAATAATAAATTGAAAGTAGTTTCAATGTAGCTAGCTACTTTTTCAGAAGGGCAGCTTGAATCTAGCTTAACTACTTGAATTTACGAGTAGCTTGTAGCTGGTCAAGCTACAGTTTCAGAGTAGCTTCCCCAACACTGCTTAAAACTATTGCTTCTGGCTAAAATACGAGTCCTCTATTCATAACATTGCTTTCTCCCGTTAAAAGTCATGTTGGCTGAATCAGGAGAGAAATATACACTGATCAAGCACTGCTTACAAGCAAAAACCAAACCAAACGGTTCTAAACAAATATGTTGGTGGATTTTGATGTGAGAGGACAACAGGGGATTGACTTTTTTCATTGGAGAAAGCCTTATTATGGATTATGGACTGTTTTGGCCACAAGTCTTTTGTGAGGCTATTGACTTCAAGTGCTTATCAAGGGGTTTATTCAAATGAGGTCCACTTTGGTTGTCCATCAGTGTTGATATCCAAAAGGCCAGCAATTTATAACATCCTATGAAGGGTTGTGCATTAGACATCAGTCTAACACAGGACAGGTAGCTTTACTGATATCAGTTAACTGAAAGAAGTCATGTCACTTTAATGATCATTATGAATGATTTTCTTCATGTCTGTCACTTATTTTCCGTTTTTCTGTGTTCATCCACTCCTGCTGTTTTCTCATTGTGCTTTGTCAACAAGGTGCCAACAACTACGACGAGGCCGCCGAGTACATCCGCACCAAGTTTGAGGACCTGAACAAGAAGAAAGAAACCAAGGAGATTTACCCTCACTTCACCTGTGCCACAGACACGAAGAACGTGCAGTTCGTTTTCGACGCTGTCACCGACGTCATCATCAAAAACAACCTGAAGGACTGTGGGCTCTTCTAGAGCACAAAAACAGGAAGACGAGTCGAGGTACGAGCAAACTGATTACTGAAACTAATTGGACTCCTTTGGTTTCCACACTACTTGTAACTGATTTCTCTTCCTCTTTCAGATTACTTGAACAGTTTTGATGACCAGAGGAAGTAGGGGTGGAATCTGCACTGGCCAACCACGACTCCTGCTTCCACATGACGGAGTCCGACACAATTTCAACGATTGCCAACAACCTTAGCCTCTGTTCTCCCTCCTTTGACATTTATTATATGTATTATTAACTCCTTGTGCTATGACCACAAATCACCAATTGTTGTATTATCCTTTGTCCATTTTTGTTGTTTAATTTCTCTCCTTTTGTTCAATTTTTATTTTTGAGAAATAGCAGAGGCAAATTTTTTTTTATATGATGCTTTTATTTTACTCTAGGAAATCTGATGTGCAAATTGTATTCAACTTAATTGCATAATGCTTATTTTTTAAACAACCAGCAGACATTGGATATAGAGTATGATTGAAAAAGGAAAGCATTATGCAATTAAGTTGAATTGCCAACGACCTTAGCCTCTGTTCTCCCTCTCTCTCGACACTGTCCCAGCATTGTGTTTGACATTTAATATCTGTATTATTAACTCCTTGGGCTATGACCACAAATCACCAACTGTTGTATTATCCTTTTTGTTTGTTTTTTTTTCCTTTTGTTCATTTTTTTTTTTTTTTCGAGTAATAGCGGAGGCAACAAAATGTTTTTATATGATACTTTAATTTTTCTCTAGTGAATCCTATGTGCAAATTTTATTAAACTTTTAATTGCATAATGCGCATTTTTTTTAAAACCAACAGGTGTTAGATATAAGGTATGATTGAAAAAGGAAAGCGCTTTTTTATGATGTTTACATGATGTCCTTGTTGATAGAAAAATGGAAAGTTGTCCTGCATGATAGAAGATAGCAAATATATCAATACAAGTAATCAGTTCACATCAGCGTAACATTCCTTTTTAAGATTACTTTTGAAAAAGTACAAAAAAACAACAAAAAGCACAAAAAAAGCTTCACAAATGGGGAAAGAACTGCTAAAATGTAACTGATATTTAAAGTATGTACGTAACCGTATCTAACGATCTTTTTTCTTCTCTTCTATCTTCCCGTTGCTCTTTCTAGCATTCTGTTTGTGCCTTGACTTCCGTTTACAATGGACTTTATTTTCCCCCAAGTTGTCCTACTGTACGTAAACATTTCTTCTCCAGAATTTTCACATGTAAGAATAAATAGTAATTAATAATGGAAATCTAATTGATAAAAAGGGTAGTGTTTTTGTTTCTTCTTTTTTTTTTGTTTTTTTTTTGTTAAGATTAAACTTCTTTTGAAAGTCCTATATAATGATTTAATTTAAATAAAAGTTCATTCACTAGATAAAGCTCTGCCAGCTGTGGTTTTTATTTCAAGTGTACTTTTTTGGAGGTTAATAAGTTCACATCAGTGGCTGAATAATTAATTTAATATCCAATCGCAGTAATTAAATACACATTTAAGGGCTTGCTGTAGGGCATCAACTGGAACATTTTCTGATTTGAGCGTATTGTACTCTGGCTGATTTCGGCTATCCATTAACTGGAGAGGTCTGTAAGAACATTAACTAACTTAATTATTTAAGAACATCAAGATTAATTTCTTTTCTGAGATCAAATCGCAGGAAGACGAGGTTCCAACCAACGGTGCTCCTCTGTTGCTGGATTAAACAAGTAACTCTGTCCTGCTGAAAGACATCAGAAAATCATCTCTGGTCAATTAATCATCACGCTCAGAACATATGCTTCTCAAAATTATAATTACATTCATTTGGACATGTCTAACGGACACTGTAATCTAACCTGGGTCTTGAGCTTTTCCATTAAACCCCTACAATGAAAAGAAAATATTCTTTACGTTCTGAAGTAAATTAGGGTTTGGAGAGTTAAAGATATATTCTTTTGTATGCTATCTTTGGACAGACTAGCACCGCCATCTAGTGACTGCTTTGTGAAATGATACATTATACTTCAATGAGCTTATAAATGTACCGTTTTACAACTAAATCTAGGCTACATAATCTTACATCTCATAAACAGACCTAGCAGTATGTCGCACTTTGTCGTTCTCACCTGATGCTGCTGGATTGCCTTCACCGTTAGCATGAGTGCTGAAAAGATCTCAAAAAAAGAAAAGAAAAAGTGAGAAACTTAATTTTTCAAATAAATTTCGAGCTCTGCATTACACGACTAAACATTTTTTGTCAGGAACATAATGTTCTTTATTTTTTATAATGAATGTAGCACTGGTGAGTTTACTGTATACAAACACGTCATTTTCCGTGGTTTTTCCTATATATAAATGTAATAGTTACCCTATCTAAAATGTAATAAGTAGTGTAACTATTTCAATTACTTTATTAAAGTAATGTAACCGATTGCATTTGATTACTTTTTGATGACTTTTCTAAAATTCGGATGTTTTCAACTGTTAATCATTTTTGAAACATTTAAACTGATTACTCTCAGACTTTCAAAAGCCTTCATCACTTGAATTAAGATTATAATCATTTAATTTTACAGCACAGCCACCACAAAATCAGACTTACTTTGAGATCATTCTGAGGTTAAATACAGATTTAAAATCATAACAAGAAATAGTTTAATAGCTATGATACTGTTTTTGAAATCAAATCTTTGCATAGCTATGACAGGAAACACTGGCATCAAACAATGGCTTGGAAAAAAAAACTAAACAGTTAATCTTAAAAAAAATAAAGCATTTACATAAACCTATCAAATAGGAAATAAAAGTTATCGAAATATGTCCTAAACTCCTCAAACATTGGTGTTTCATATTTTAGAGTAGGGCTGGGCGATATGGGCAAAAAAAATGATTTTTTTTTTTCATATCAGTCGATATCGATAATTATCACGATAAATGTCAAATCTTTATTTCTTTCCAGTTTAAAGCCAGATTTTTGCTCCAAAGTGAAAGTTGTAGAAACCAGACCATTCATTTTCCTTAACAAAATAATTATGATAGGATATAGTGATAGGAGATGCTCCACAGCACAATGGTGATGAAAGCGAGAAGAGGTTTTACATGTCAGACTCCGCCCATTCATTTGGAAACAGTCCACAACAACACTTTTGAGAACATAACAGTGGATAGTTGAAGTTCTGCTGTTGGAGTCATAATAGAGATGATGAAGTTTCCATTGGTGATGGTGGCAGTTTAGGTGGTCTCTATCAGGGTCTGTGCAGCTGAGGGTGATCATGGGAACTCCAGCCACCAGGGTGGAGAACATGATGGATGTATATGAGAGTGGGTCACACACTGCAGCTTTATCATTCATATTCTGCAGCAAAAGAAGAAAAGAATGATGTTAACTTTAGCGTCAATCTTGAGACATCCTGGAAAGAGTGATTTAAGGCATTGACTCTCAACCGATGGGTCGTGACAATGCCAAATGCAGTGTAATATAATTATGCAGCAAAATAAATAGGCATTAACATTTAAAAGTCTTGTTCAATCGAACTAATATTTTTTCATATATGGCTAATACACTATTTAGCCCAGTGTTTATTTCTTGTATTTAACTTTTGCTGTGGTTTACGTATTTACAAAATTGTCAATGCCTATCATTTAAATGTTCATATTATTTTGCTTATGAAGTTCATAATTATTTTATTAAATTAAAAAGGACATTTTAAGGACATGTTTGTTTACTTGTATATAATGAAATGGTGCAATGCACATTTTGATACATTTCAAAAATGTTATATAGAAATTTTGTTTATTTTGTACAATGTATTTTTCTACATTCAAAAATGTTTTAATGTTTGACATTTTACTTTTATGCATTAAAATTTTGTAGTAAATGCAAAAATATTTCAAAAATGTTTTAAGGAAATTTTTGTTTACTTTTGTACAATACAATTTTGTAATAAATTAATACTTTTTTGGTTTACTCCAGTACAATAGCAATTTGTAATACATGTTTTATGGACATTTTTATTAACTTTATATCTGGTGTAAAATCTGGGCCCCAGTTGTTAAACAGTGGCTTACACTTTAAAGCAGTGATGGGCAAACTCGGCCCTTCCAGGTCACTTTCCTTCAGAGGTTAGCTCCAACTCTAATCAAACACACCTGAACCAGCTAATCATTGTCTTCAAGACTACTAGAAAGCTACAGGCAGGTGAGTTTTATCAGGGTTGGATCAAATCTCTGCAGGAAAGTGGCCTGGAAGGGCCAAGTTTGCCCATCACTGCTTTAAAACTTCAAGCATTAATAAGTTAGTTTTATCTAAATGCTTATCTTCGTTTAGTAGCATAACATGCCTGACCTGAACTTGTAAAGTGACGTCAGTCTGTTAGTTATTTCTGTCCACATCCTGGTCAAAATCCTGCTTTTCCTCCTAATCTAGTTCTGGGTTCTGAGAAAACAGGAATGATGTAACTTGAAAAGGTAATTACTGTAGTGGGCAATTGAAATAATCGTTAAAAATTATGTTTTGAGTATAATGGACCATTTATGAGCATCTAAGTTGGAATGATCCATATGATCTCACCTCTGACTGGATCAATGGTGAAACCCGAGTCTCCTCCGGAGATGCCTGAGATGAGCAGCTGGAGGGATTTAAAGGGCCAGTCTCGATCAACTGCTTTCACCACACCTATGATGTTCCACGATGGGCATCTAACCGGCACCTCCCTCCAGGACCGTGTCTGGTGACCCCTGCACTAAAGGCTCAGACCAAGTGGACAGTCTGGGTTAATGATCTCTCAGTTTCCAAATCCAGATTATATGCTGTCCTGATGACACCACCATCTAACCATTAAACCAAAAAGAATGAAAAAAGTGTGTTCTTCTTAGCAGGTCACAAGTGTCTTAAGATGTGTTTGACATTTCAGTCACAAGAGGGAGACAGATCTTCTCCTTACCTTGTCTTGTTGTGGAAGGTGGATATGATCTCACAGACATGTAGAAGACTGAGGAAATGTTTGGATTGGCTTGAACAGATACCACGAAAGCATCAGACCCTTGGTTCTCAAAGATGGACACATTCTGGATGGAAAAACTGTCGGAAAAGTATGATACTGTTATCTAAATGCATTTGAATCAGTAGTCCAATAGAAATGTCTTATAGATATTGCCATTAATGCGCTTTTTATGCATTGAAAGAAACTTACAGGAAGTCAAAGGAATACCCTCACGACCTCCACACCACTGCAGTTCGATCCTGCTCTGACCTTTACTACCACAGATATGGAAAACTTGAAAAAAAAATGTTTAGGCCTATATTAGAAAAATCACACGACAGTACCTTACATTTTTTTTAAATATTGCACTATACATCATTAAATATTAAATACAAATACTACCAAATATTATATTTAATTGGTGATATACTGATAAAACCTATTGCTGGATAAAGAGAATTCAGGGATAAGAAGAAGACACAACAAACACTGGTAGCCCATATATTTCTGTTTAGAAAGCGCAGGTAAAGCTGAAATGAATTTCTTTCTTGATGAACTTGGAGATCGTAAAATATTTCTTGATTGCTTGGAAGTGTGAATTACTAGCGCTACAAATGTGTCAAATTATGAAGTAGTTTAAGAGTCAATCTGGTCAAGCCAAACTTTGAAAACTGATTGTAGACTTGTAGGTTACTGTCATCATGAACACTAGCAGATAAATCTAAGCAGTATTTGTTGGGTTGGTTCTGTTTGGTGAAGGCAAATAAAGAAATGAATCTTGAAGACATGCCCAGGTTACTGACAGAACGTGTGCTTACCACAGTAACCTCGTACATTAAAGTTTAATGCTTCAGGAAAATCTCTTGAACAGCCTGGGTGAAGTGGCCATCATTAAACACAATGGGTGGAATTGCATGTATAGTTAACAGCTCACACTTTTTCCTATATGTAAATAGGATTGCCACATTTCAGCTTTGTATCACAAAAGGATCAGTGTTATTGTCCAGTCATGTTTTTGTGTGAGCCTGATAGTCCACACACCTCTAATCTAATCTAATGTGTCACAGATTAGGATGGGAGAACAATAAAGAATGGAGACATGACTGGAAATGGGAACATTTTACTCTAATTACAATAAACACCTTTACAGTGCCATCAAACCCATGTGTAATAGTATTTCTTCAGCGCTCAGTTCATTTCTGAAACATTAGTGCTTTGTTTAATGGCTCTTGAATTAATATTTTTTAAGTCTGTTTATCATACGAAGAACCGATTCTCAAAATGAATCGGAAGTGGCAGCGTTTTCTCCGACCGCCAGAGGGCGCTGCTCAACGCGCCGTGAATCTGACTCTTCCAAATCTCACGTGGTCATACGTTGAACTTTATCAGGTAACGTTAACATTTTATGTTGATAACAGGTAAATAAATGAATGTAATTTCGCATCTGGAACAGCGGTGTATCTTATTAAAACTTAAAATAAAGATGGGAAAAATAAACTCGGATTCTCACATGAGCAAATTTGGGCGAAGAGGAAAAGTTAAATGTATTCGTAGATTAAAGCTGATGTGGTCTTTTAATGGTGCAAACAATGCTGCTAAACTGTATAAATTCAGTTTTAAGCACACATATTACTGTTATTGACAAATGAACATCAAGGCATCCATTTACTTGTGGCTGTTGTATTGTGCAACCTTCAACATTTTACACGTTTTACAGACACTTCGATGCTTGTTTCTCCGCCTTTATCATTAATATGCAAGAACAGCAATTAAAATAATTTAGAAAATGAAACTACATAATTATTTGATTATACAGAGTCGTAAATAATAGCTACTATTTTTTTATAATACTTTATTATTTACAGTTTCTACCTAATTATTTATATTTCCATTGTATTACTGTGAAGCTGCTTTAAAAATCTGCATTGTATAAAGCACTATAGAAATAATGGTGACTTGACTTTAGTGTTTAAATGATAGATATATAGATAGATAGATAGACAGTTGAAACGTGATTATCATATTGAAACGGATATCGTCTGGTACTTTGGCAGTTTTGAATATACTCATAATTTGAGATTGAGAGAGGGAGGAATTGAGCGCTCAGATTTCAGTCAAGCTGTGATTGGCTCCTGCTTAGATGATTTGATTGGATGGCGCCGCGATGCTGCGCTGTGATTGGCTAAGACGCGCATGCTGGAATGACAGAGACGCACATATGCGCTCGTCTGCAGTGAGGGGTTTATGATCTGGAGTTTGAGTCACAAGAGCCACATCTGCACAGTCTGGATTGTACTGAAGTCTTTTCCCCCCTCACAAATGTAAGTGCAAGTCTTGATTCTACATTTGATCCCCTTCATGCATGATTTTTACCTGATAAAAGTTACTCATGTCTTATTCAAATACAAAAAAGCAACTCATTTATATTGTTTTATTTTACTTTTGCAAAACATGTTTCATAAAACATTTATTTCTATTTCAGGAGTATCTAAATTACTGGATTTGACTGTCATCATTCCAGAATCATGGTAAGCATGCCTCCAAATCATCATCTTGCCACACTCATTAGGGCTTTGTATTATTAATTACCATAGATTGTTTACTCAGTAAAACTGCACTGATTGGACATCACTTTACATTATGTGGCGAAAGGATTAGTTACTGTGAAGAAATGTCCGTTGCTGAAATTTCAGCATATGGGATGACATCTGTAGCCCATGCAAATCTGTGCATAGAAATGATGGCAGTCACTCAACCCTGTGTGTATGCTACTATTGCTGCAAGCATGTGATTATTATGTTTATTTAGATATAGATTTAATCAAATATGTTTAAAGAAAAACACATGCCAGTTCTTTATCTGTCAAAACGGCAGAAAAGTTTCCCAAAAGTGGAAGATTTTTGTGTTCAAACAATCATGCATTAGACTTTAATTAAGATATTTAGACAAATGAAACTGGATTAGGCTCTTTGTATTATTGTGCTGTTTTTGTTTGTGATGAGTTATCAGAAATTAAAATGCATTTTGGGTTTTTGGTTCATTTCTCAATTGCAAACTACTAAAATATCAAGCATGGCAGTAGCATTGTTTTTGAGTTAAGAATAAGGACTAGCTTGTTGCTTATAGTGAACACTGAGACTGTTAATCTTAGACTCATGAGATCATAATTTCCTGTTTTTCTTTGATGTAACCAAGTATTTGATTGAGATTTTTCTAGATTTGAATGTCTATGAACCAGCTTCAATCTTAAATGCAATAAGTAGTTTGTATTGAAATTGCTATTGACTCTATTTATTTCAAATGAGTAAGCTATTGCTCTTCCGTTTTTTTGATTATGATTTGTGTGTATGTTTGTGTACATGCATCTGACAGCATGGATAGAAGGTGTGGTAATTACTCTATTGAAAAGAAGTGTTTCAGGTGTGGTTAGTAACAGGTTTATTCTAACTGATTTTGATGTGAAGGTAGTAGTCATCCATCCTTTTGATAGCAGGGCGTGAGTGTGTCCACATGATGTGCATTCATCGGTTGTTCGGTTGCCCTCTACCTAGAATAGAGTGGTTTTTCAGCTCCTCCAGACAAATAGAGCCATGCCCTCTCTAACAGAGCTCATGCAGGTCCAAGCCTGTCTAAGGAGCACGATTAGTCAATATAAGGAAAACAAAATCAAAGGGAGGGTGACACAAATTTTATATACTGTAGATGTTTTTTTTTATTGGGTAATTATTGCTTAATCTTAATTAATATTAATATGTATAACAAGACAGAGCATTTTTCAAATGTATTAAGCTTATATATATATATATATTATAAAATTAAATGCAGATATGTATTTTTTCAAATGTATTGCAAATTAATTTACTTTTTATTATGCAATTTTATATAATTATATATAATAATTTTGTGAGATGTGTAATGATATATTTTAATTCTATTTTTAATTCTATTTATTTATTTATTTTAATTCTATTATTTCTATCTACATTCTATTATTTTATTATTAAAATATATGTATTACAAAGACTTTTATCATAAAATTGTTATAAAATCTGCATTTTTCAAATGTAGTACCAATGTGTGTTTTATAATCTGAGATTTTGCACCCAGTAGTCTTACCTGTCTTTCTGTCTTTTTGCAGTTGTGTCTGCAGGAATCAGGTGACTGTCTGCGGGAACAGATGCGTTATATGATGCGATCCCTGCAGGATCTGAAGCATTTGCGGCAGAGCTGCGCAGCGCCCCCTGTCGGTCCTCCAGTGAGGTTACGTGCTTGTAAGCAGCTGATAGCCCAACGGGAACGACGAGCACGGTTGAGGATCAGCGACGCCAGTGAGGCGAGCAGTTACGACTCTGCCTGTTGTCTGTCTAGCTCTTTGGAAGAGGAGGACTCTGCGGGCGGCCCGTCGGCTGTTAGCTCACCGAGCAGCGAGCGGAGTCTGGAGTTTGATTCGGGATACTCTGAAGCCTCCTGGCAGGATGAAGGTGTGGTGTTACGGCGCACCAAAAACATCCGAGTATCTTCGTCCGCATGTCTTCGCACCAACCAGCCTCCCAACAACCATGTGCGTCCTAAGTCCACCTCTGACGCTTGCCTAGAAAGCTGGACGTCGTTTGAGACCA